TATTTATAGAGCACTTCTAAGATTTGCAAAGCACCTTACATAGCTTGTCTCATTTGATCCTCACAACAACCCCGTGAAGGGAAATACTATTGTTACCCTCATTTTGCAAATGAGGAAACTAGGGCAGCCAGGTCAGGTGACTTGGCCACAATCGCAATGGTAAGAGGTGTTTAAGACAATATTTGAACTCTGTCTTCCTAACTCCAATCCTCCTCACTCCATCCATTGGCCATCTTGCTACCAGGGCTTTCTAAACCAAAGAGAGGAGTTTGAATTTTATCCTGGAAGCTAGAGGGAGTCCCTGGAGCTTCAGTAGCAGAGGAGTGACCTGGGAACTGAATTCTCTATGGGATAAGCCCATCCAGACAACTGGAGTGTGAAAGAATGTTGTTTAGTCGTTTTCAGTAGTGTCTGACTCTTCCAGACCTCTTCTAGGGTTTTCTTGACAGTGATACTGGAGTGGTTTACCATTCCCTTCTCCAGTGTAAAAGAATTAAATTTTTTTCCAGAAGGAAAGAATGGCCTTTTTCTTTAGCTTTTCTCCCAATTTGCCCCTTCCTATTTTGGTATTAATTGAATCAATCAAAGATGTATAGGATACAGAGTTGGAAAGGATTCTGGGGATTATCCAGACCAGAGATTCTCAACCTTTTTTTTTTTTTAGCTGTTACAGACCTCTCTGGCAGTGTGGTGAAGAAGCCTATTAACCTTTTCTCAGAATAATATTGTTAATATATAAAATAAAGTACTGCATAGAATTATAAAGGAAACCACCTGAATTGAAATACGGTCAACTAGCATTTATTAAACACCTACTAGGGACTGAGCTGTGTATTTGATATGGTTATCAAAGAAGTTAAAAAACAAATTCACGGACCCCAGGTTAGCTACTCCTGAGCTAGGCCAGCTCTTCCATTTCACAGAGGATAAACCCAGACTCGGAGAGGCCAAGTGATGAACTCATCCTAGGTCACACGGGTCACAAAAAGCTCAAACAAAATTTGAACGCAATTCCTCCTGACTTGAAATTCTGAATGGAATAACAAACAGTTTTAGTTCTTTATGAATCTTGACTTAAAGAGACAAATGGTTTATTCCAGGAGTGGGGAACCTGTCCTTGGTCCTCCAGATCCTTGGTGTGACCTTTTGACTGAGTCCAAGTTTTACAGAACAAATCCTTTTATTAAGGGGATTTGTTCTGTGAAGTTTGGATTCAGTCAAAGGGCGGCACTTGAGGACCTAAAGCAAGGCCACAGGTTTGTCCTAAAAAACGTAGCTGAACAAAGGTTGATGATTGCCAACTGAGGTTATTGGCTTTCATATTTGGAGGCTGATCTAGGTTTTCATTAGAGAGAAAGAAAAATAAATTTAACCTTTATAATTTTTATAGTTTATCTTTAGGTGCAGAAAATATATTTAAAGTTATTTTATTTGACCTTTCTCATATTTTGTCAAGAAGATTTCATTTAGATGTAAATTCATTATTGCTCTTTTTAATAGTTTCCTTCAGAATTCGAATAAATCTCTTGTCACAACTTTAAAATTACAGTTCTCAGAACACTGGGATTTCTATTAATGTGTTATTTCCTTTGTCTTTTTTCCTCTATGATTGCACTTGTCCCAAATGCAATGAAATTAAAAATCGACTCTCCTTCCCTATCTCTTACCAACATGCTTATTTAATAGACTGAGTGGTGGTGGGAGGAAATTTTTGACAAATTTGTAGTTTGAGATTAAGCCACATAAAGTGTGATGTCAGGTTATTTAAAGTATTCTAAGAATCCAGGCAACTTAGTATATGGCTTAATATATCTCTGGTTAGACCTAAAGAACTTGCTTGCTTCCAGGGGACACCTTTATGGTTCTTTATGCATAGAATTGAATAGAAATGAAGAATACACTAAGAAAAATGAAGTAATTCTCCATTTTCCATAGCACTAACCGCAACTTTATTAAATTACTGTGTGTATTTTTCAATCCAGAGTAAGAGAGAAGTGTGGAAAGCAATGACAAGGCTTCAGAGGGGACTCCCAAAGATAAAACATATAGTTGTGTCTGGAAAGTGAGGAGATTGGACCAGTGAAAATATTTTCCAAACCTGTAATTCTACTATGTTGAAATTGAGCTAGTGTGACCTACTTTGACCTGCATGTATTTCCCCCCTTTTTTTTTTTCTCATGGGTTTCAGGTTTTCCAAAGTATTATCTTTTTATGCCTTTGCTCTTGTTTCTGGGAATCCTTTCAGTTTTCTTTGTTTGGTCACAAGGTATCTTATCCTCTGGGCCTGTTTTCATGCTATTTCATTTTTCTATCCCTCCATCATCCCACAATCTTTTGCTACAAATCCCCCAACCTTACCCTCAGGCTTTTTGGTGTAATCCTTTTGGTGTGATCTATTTCTGAGTTTATTTTCACCAGCCTGGAGAATGTGAGTGTTCTCTTCTGGAACTGTAGGATTTTCTTCAAACCATTCCTAGGAACCTATATTACCAATGGCAATTTATGCCAATAAGTTTTTTTGTTTTTGTTTTTTTAAGATTGGGGCTCCCTATCCTTCCCAGCCTGTAAGTGCAGGGGGACACTCCTAGGCCCCAATCCCACTCTTACTATCAAGGGAGTTTTGACCTGCTTGCTTTCCAATTTGCATCCATTTTTTAGGCAATCTGATGCCCCTTACCCACCTCCCAGAAACACACCATATTAATGCTGAACTTAATGTAGATACCTAATCAGCTTAGCCCAGCTGCAGTCTCCTGAAATTCTTGGCTTTCCTTAATGATAATTTAATCTTTCTAAAGGTTGGAAACTAAAAAGGGGAAATGTGATTTGGGACCTGATTCTGACCAAAAAGAAAGACCAGGTTGCTGAAGTAGAAATAATAGAAACTTGGAGGAAAGTGACTGACCCATCTTAAAATTTGTAAAAGAGGAGAGGAAATTCAGGCATAGGTAGACATGTGCCCCAGTTTGGGGAGAGTAAATGTGAAAGGGTTCAGAGAACCCACAGATAGCATCCGATGACCTGAATTCCGACTGAGGAGTCAATCCAGGTGAGATGGAATGCTCAGAATGATAATTCCAAAGTTACAAGGAAACAATTCCACGAAAGACAAAAAAGGTGGTGAGCCAAAGAGACAAATGTGGATATACAGAGAACTATCTAATGAACTTAAATTTAAAAAAAAAAGATATATATAGAAATTAAAAACAAAAAAAGGTAACAGATGATGAGTTTGGTTGTTTAGGAACATTATTTAGCAAGTTTTTCTACCTCTGGTCCCTAAATCACTTTCTCTGTGACTGCTACAAAAGATAGACTTTAAAAGAAAGTAAGGAATGGGTGAATTAGGAGACTTCTTTCTTGCTTGAGCTAATTTTGAACTATTTCTCTAAGAGAGAGTAGTGGCCATTATTGGTACCTGTCTTCAAATAAGGGATAGGTGATGAGGTGAGTTGGAGTCACAAAAACCTGCCTCAGACACTTCTTAGCTATATGACTCTAATCAAATCTCTCATTCACCCTGGTTTTCTAATTCTTCATCAGTGAAAAGAGAGGTTTGGAATGATTGCCTGTAAGGCCCCTCCTCATCTAAATGTATGATCCTATGATCAGTGGCCTCTTCTGACTGGGAGGGCAATGCCAGGTTCTCCTGGTAATTTTAGTCATGACATTTGACCTTCTGAACTTTGGTCAAATTTCAATTTGAGCAGCTCCTCTTTTAGGTAAATCTTCCTTATTGAGGTGTATCATTGCTCAGGGGCCAAAGGAATTATTTTAAGGTGCAGGTCTGACCATGTACCACATCCCACTCAGTGAACTCCAGTGACTTCCTGTTATTTCCCTGATCAAATATAAAGTAATCTGGTGTTGAAAAATCTTTACATTCTGGTCTACTCCCACCTTTCTAATCTTCCAATACTTTATTCCTCATCATGTACACACACACACAAATAATATACATACACACACACACACATATATGAAATACTCATCGAAAGTTTAATGTGAGCATTTAACACAGACTAACCCATTTCCCAACTTTATGTCTTTATATTGGCTGGCACATATTCCTATTGTGTCTCCCCTCTTTACTCCTTCCTTTTAGTTTCCCTGGTTTCCTTCAAGACTTAAAATCCCACCTTTACAAGAGTCCTTTTCCAGAACAGGCTGTTAAGCTGGTGCCTTTCCCTTTGAGAATATATTCTGTTATATCTGTGTATTTCTTGCATAAACCTAGGTTTGTCTTTTTTCCCACATTGTCTTCATCACTAGAATGTGAGCTCCTTAAGGGCAGGGATTGTTTTTGCCTTTCTTTGTATCTCCAGTAGTTTGTGCAATACCTGGTCCATAGCTAGTGCTTAAATGAATGCTTGACTGAATTTAAAAGAAATGTTCTACATGTGCTAACCAATTAATTAATCCCTATCGACAGGAGGAGTTACACATACTTACAATGTCATTATGTTCTCAGATTTCTCAGAGAAGTGACACTTTGACGTTTTCTGTGATTCGATTCCTGACTTAGTGAAGAGGTTTATTATTATTTTCCAGTTAACTAAAGGAGGGAGAGCCCTCGGAAGTTTTGATAGGATCCAATGTTCATGTTTATTTTCAGTTTTAAATTTTTCTGAAAGTTTTTTTTTTTTTAATGCTTTTCAAAAGAGATTCAGTATTAAAGCAAAATGTCCATCAGGGGTGGACAGGAAGTAGTAATATAGGTGATTCAAATGCATTGTTTCAAACACAAACACATTCAAACAATCGTGTTTTTCTCTGTGGCTGTATTTTGTATGTATACATTTATTTCCATAAAGAACTGGGGTGACAGGGTGGGGTGCATAATTTAGGATGAAAAGTAACAATGAAACTTATTGTTAGACTTTTTATGGTTACTACCTAAAATCAGACAGAAGGATTTAAAGAACCTTTGTAAAACACAAGTATGTTTTCTGTATCTCATGTTTCTAAGTTCCTTTTCTCTCTTTTGTTTTTCTTGACAGTGGTGCATTTTCTGAAGTGGTTTTAGCAGAAGAAAAAGCAACTGGAAAACTCTTTGCAGTAAAATGTATCCCTAAGAAGGCACTAAAGGGCAAGGAAAGCAGCATAGAGAATGAGATTGCTGTTCTGAGAAAGTAAGTACTGTAGAATTCTGTCTCTTTGATCCCTTTGGGTTGCTGGTCTCTGGGAGCGAAGATCCCTGTGTAGGGGTTAAGACAAGCTATGGCAGTCACTTAAGCCAAATAGAAGCAGGAATGATGGCAGGGTACGTTTTACAATTGGATCATGGTCCTAGAGATGGGGAACATGACCATTGATGTCTTGGCTTTTGGCAAGATACTTAGGGTTTTTTTTTTTCCCTTGTTAGGCTGATAATACCAGATCTTCAACATAAAAGAGAACTCTACCATTCCATGACTTATTGCATGGATTCAGGTATACTTTTAGTCAGCTTATGTCCCTAAATAGCAGGATTTCTTTTTTTTTTTTTGGTTTTTGTTTGTTTATTTGTTTTTTTAGGCAGTTGGGTTAAGTGACTTGCCCAGGGTCCCACAGCTAGTAAGTGTCAAGTGTTTGGTCTGAGACCGCATTTGAACTTAGGTCCTCCTGACTTCAGGGCTGGTACTCTATCCACTGTACCACCTAGCTGCCCCTAACAGGACTTCTTAACAGGGAGTCCACAGACCTTGGGGTTATGTGGACAGACTTCAGAGAGGGTGGGTATCCATAAAAAAAAATTAGATCTTTATTTCTACTAATTTTTGGTTTCCTTTATAATACTGTATGTTTTATTTTATGCATTTAAAAATATTATTCTGGGAGGCAGCTAGGTAGCTCAGTGGATAGAGCGCCAGCCCTGGAGTCGGGAGAACCTGAGTTCAAATCGGACTTCAGACACACATAAAACTTACTAGCTATATGACTGTGGGCAAGTCACTTAACCCCAAATGCCTCACCAAAAATATATATATATATATAATTCTGGGAAGGGTTCTATAGGCTTTGGCAGATTGCCAAAGAGATCCCTGACACAAAAAAAGGTTAAGAGGCCTGTCTCAAAGCCTCGCTATATCCAGTGAAAGTCTAATACAACACAATTAGCTGAGTTCTTTGCTTGACACTATTTCCACTCTCTTTCCCTGCTCTCTCTCACCCCCTAGCAGCACATTTTGACTAGGTTAGAGAAACAAATCACTGTATAATAATCATACTATCATTTTTGGAGAAAGGTGCTATGGAAATTTAAAGGTGGTTCCATTTGTGAAAGACATTAGGAATACCGATGAAAGTCACTGGGTTTTGAGGAAAACGATAAACTTAGTGACTTAGTGTAAATGGAAGAAGACCCTTCCACCCTTCCCAAAATGGAATGCTATTTATTTTAATACCATTATAATGAGCAAGCATGGCTCTGAAGAAGAGACGAGAAAGTGTACTTCCTTTGTTCATCGAGGTGGGAGACTGTGGTGTGGAACATTATATATAGGATCAGACTTGGTTGATATATTGATTAGTTTTGCTAAACTCCTTTTTGTCTGTTATGAGGGGTGGTTGCCTGCATTAGGGGGGTCAGGAGGCATATAGTCAGAAATGAAGGTGATATGAAAACAGAAAGACTACTAAAAATTAAACAACAGCAAATGAAGTTGCTGGAGTTGGAGGTCTACCAGAGAAAATCAGTCAGCTACTAAGAGAAACAAATTTAGAGTAAATGTTCTAGCTCCCCAAAACATATTGGGATGGCCCTACATTCATTATGGATGAGCATGTTTTTTTCTTGTTTCTTGTTTTTTTGAAGATTAACAGCAGCCTTTGAATCACACTCAGCTGCCATAAGTACCAGAGTGCACAATATGCTAATCACGACAGCATAACATGTTCTGACCTTTATTGACTCAAAGAATAAACATATGGTATGTCAGTTCCACATAGAGAACAAATTGCTCATAGGGTTTTCTTTGTTTATTTGTTTGGTTTCTAGGCTGTCTCGGTTCTCTACCAAAAACCCAAGAAGACTAAATTAAATAACTGTTTAGAAGGGAATTTGGTCCAAACAAACCATTCTAAGTATATTATAATCAAATTGGAAGATGATATTTTAATGAAACATATAAGGATATTAACATACATTTAAGTGACTCATTTCCCAGTGCCAGGAGCTGGAAAAGCACAGTAGTGACATATTAGCATTAAGGCACATATTTGGACTTGGTCAATGCTGTAAGTGATGGTGGGGAAGAGACTGCTTCTGAGTATTTTGCAGCATCCTAGTTAGAGCGTTTAAAGGACTGATATCACCCAAAGCACCTGCCTGGATTCAGAGGCTGGTTGGCTCTCTGCTAAATCAAGCATGACACCTAAATCTTTGCTTGAGTCAGTAAATTGATTTGGGGACTAAATGAAGTAAATAAGTTTTCATTCTTCTTGTATTCCCATTTGTAGACATTTGGTATCCACTCAGATGTGGACTTCAGAAGTCAGCATTGGTTTTTGTGTTACTGAAATTCTGCTTTGATTAGTTTCCCCACCTTTGGTTTCATTAATAATGAAAAAATGCCAGGGAAGAGGATGTTCAGAGATAGCAAATGACAGGATGTTGACAGTGCCATGTTGTTGAGCAGTCAGAAGCCTGAAGCCTGATCTTTTGTTAACCAATACATTTTCTTTTATCATCACAAACACAAACACATACAGTACAACCCTAAAACAAAGTAAATTTCCCCAAAAGATTTAAGCAAAACAACACAGAAGAGTTATGACAGATTCATGCCCTGTTTCCTTTTGTTTTTTGTCATTTGTTCTTTTTGGATCTATTTTCTTCACTATACATCCTTTAGTAAGACTTACCACATGTCTTTGAATTTTTCATTATTTATCATTGCTTAAGGTACAATAATATTCTGTAACTTTCATATGCTAAAATTTATTTTTCCATTCCTGATTTTGGTCATATAGTTTGTTTCCACCTTTTTTCTGTCACAAATAATATTGCTGTGAATATTCCTGTATAGATAACAGTGGTGCCTATTCTCCTATAGACCTGACAACATTGACTTTTCCCTTCTTTAACCATATTTGTCAAATGAATGCATATAATCAGAGTTGTTTAATTCATATTTATCTAATCATTAGCTATTTTGAATATTTTTATAGTTGAATATAATTAATTTCCTCTTCTAGAAACTGCCTATTCATGTCTTTTGGTCACTTGCTATTAGGGAATAGTTTTTCATTTTAGAGAGTTGTTAATTCCCTTTAGATTCCAGATATCATACTTTTATCAGAGATGTTTAAAAAAAGATTTTTTCACAGTCCATTTTTTTTATTCTTATCCTAGTGGCATTATTTTTATTTCTTCAAGACCTTTTTATTTTATATAATTAAGAGAATCTATTTTGTCTTTTATAATAGCCTCTGTCACAAGTAGCTAACAATTCCTCTCCCCTCATCTACAGTTGTGATATAGCTTTCTATTTTCTTTTAAATTGTTATGATGTGGTTTTTTTATATTTATTGTTCATCTCTTTGAAACTTATTAATTGCTATGCAGTGTTCCCAGCAGATCCTGATGAATGAGTTCTTTCCCCAATAATTTGTACACTTGTGTTTACTGAACAATAGACTGCTATGTGTTTGCCTCTAGGTCTTGTCTGATCTGTTCCACTTTCCACTTGTTTCACGATCTGTTTTTATATTTTTAAATACAATTCAGATAATTTTAATAATTACCATTTTAGAATATGATTTTAAATTTGATAATGCCATGCTTTCTTTTCAACTTTTCCCTCCATTGTTTACTTTTATAATCTTAGCATTTTGTTGCTCCATAAGAATTTTATTATTTTTATTTTTATTTGTTATTTTTCCTAATTCTAGAAATTATTTCATTGATATTTTGATTGGCATAGAATAAAACTTGAAAATTATTTTGGGAACTATTATTATCTTTACCATATTAGCACAACTCAGTCACGTACACTAAATACTGTTTCAATTATATAACTCATAGAATCATAGAATTAGAACTAGAAGGGATATCAGAAGTTATCTAGTCTAATTTTTCATTTTACAGATTAAAAAATGGAGGCACAAAGAGATTAATTGACTTGTCCTAAGGTACATAGGTACTGAATAACAGCTGGGATTCTCTTCCACGTGGAGTCAACAAGCATTTAAGAGCCTATTCTTTGCCACATTAAGCAAAAAAAAAAAAAAAAATAGACAAAAACAGTTCCTGCCCTCAAGTTGCTGATTTTAGGTCCCAAGCTCTTTCTCTTGTTCCATGTTGCCTTTCTAACAAGATAGGGCTTGAATCTTTCTAAAAACTCCCTTTTTCATTCCTCTTAAACCTTCACTTCTTCCAAATTTTCTATCTCTGTGAAGGATACTACCATAGCCCCAGTGATTGTTGACTCTTCCCTCTTCCTCAGTCCACACATTCAATCAGGAGTCAAGAGTTATCACTTCTAAGATCCTTCTTTATTTCTGTAAAAATTGTTCTGTTGTTTGATTTACAGAAGGGCTATTTGTTTCTCCTGTATTTAATACATGGGCCTCCTACTGTTTCATAGAGTTGGGGGGAGGGATACTGGAAAAGGCAGAGGGGGATAATCACATAATTTTTATGCCACCTACAAATAGCAGTACAAATATTGATATACCACTGGTTGAATTGAACCATATCAGTTGAAATTCTTGCTATAAATAATAATAAAGATGTTACTATTAAGTAGAAGGATGGCTCATAGGTTCCCCTTGGAGAAATAAATGGAATTGGTTTCATTGGTTCCCAAACCAAGAAACTTCATGCTGTGGGGAACTTGATTATTTCACCTTGATTATTAATAAGCCTAAGCAAAAAAGAAGTCATGAAAATGGTTGTTGAATGAAAGAATGAAAACCTATTTCTTAATTGCTTACTATGTGTCAAGGGCTATTGTATCAAGCCCTGACATTGAAGTATAGATATAAATGTGAGACTGCCCCTGACTTTAAGGGGTTTATATTTTAATAGGAGGAAACTGCAGACATAGGGCAAGGGTGGGCCCTGAAGGGTGTTTTGACCTGGGAAATCACAAGGATGATGAATGGAAAAGTAGGACAGTCCATTGACACTCCATTTCCAGATGCCCTG